CATCTTTGAGAATGATTAGTCATTTCTTTTTAGTTGTTAGGGAGAGACCAGTGTAAGAGCCTGACAATCATAGAGAAAGCTAGTCTATGGTCCTGGCAGCTTATGGTTGATCTGACACTTTGCAGATACATACTGTGTGACAGCTGCAATAAATCAGGTTAGTAGAGGGACTTTCTGCTCCCTAAAGCTTATTTATTCCTGTCTTTCTCAAAATGGGCGGGTGGGGATGTGTAAAGCCTATCAATGAGATAGGGGAGAGGGCCTGAAGCCAGACAAACCAAAACATTTAGAGATTCTGCTAATGCTACGAAGATGAAAGGAATCCCCAAATAAAAAGAAGCCAGAGACATATTTAGCAGAGCCTCATTCCTCAACAGCCAATTGGATGTAGGCAGGAAGGTCTCCACGCACGTCTCAGAAGTTGTTTTCCCTTATAAAGTAATGGCTTGTAATGTTATGAGCAAAGGGGTTACTTTATTCCTGGTTTTCTCTAGCAGTTGGGATAAGACTGCAGTTTTTGCCCTCCCTTACCAAAAAAGTATGGCATCTCCAAACTGGTGTGTGGCCTCTGAGCGAGCATTCCTCAGGCCAGCTAGCTGAAGCCTGTTTTCTAGGCATGGTGACAGTACAGCTCCTGCTGCTGTGGAGTCCCAAGCACATTTTGTGTCCATATGACAATCTGCAGAAGTTACTGAAAGAGAAGGAACTTAAGGAATATGTAGTCAACAGTTTCCACTGAAATGCTGAAAGATGTTTGAAGTCAATAGGGAAGTTCCTAACGTGCATGGGAGTGTTGCTGCTGTCACTATAAAGAAGTCAGGGAAAAGGGTATGAAACAGAGAGGCAAAATTACTTTTTCTGCTTATTTTCTTTGATCATACTCTGGACGTGTTCCTGTGATGGAGACTGCATGAGGGTTCAGCATGGACAAACAGAAAAGTTCTCACTGGAAGCCAAATAAAACCCACAGGTTTTGACTATGGTTACAATGAAAGGACTAGAATGTTGGGGTATAGACACACCAGGCAAATAGTGGTGTGGCAGTTTCCAAACAAATTAGTGGGGTGAATACTGAGAGATAGGCAGCAGAAAATGGTGATGAAGTGGCCTTCAGAGGGGAATCTAAACTGCTTTCAGGAATGGAGAGTTCTTTTTATTGGAAGAAAGATTATATAGAGAATCATAGAATCACAGAATAGTTAGGGTTGGGAAGGAACTTAAGATCATCTAGTTCCACCCGCCCTGCCATGGACAGGGACACCTCACACTAAACCATCTCACCCAAGGCTTCGTCCAACCTGGCCTTGAACACTGCCAGGGATGGAGCATTCACAACCTCCCTGGGCAAACCATTCCAGTGCCTCAACACCCTAAGTGGAAAGAATTTCTTCCTTACATCCAATCTAAACTTCCCCTGTTTAAATTTTAACCCGTTACCCCTTGTCCTATCACTACAGTCCCTAATGAAGAGTCCCTCCCCAGCATCCCTATAGGCCCCCTTCAGATACTGGAAGGCTGCTATGAGGTCTCCACGCAGCCTCCTCTTCTCCAGGTTGAACAGCCCCAACTTCCTCAGCCTGTCTTCATACGGGAGGTGCTCCAGTCCCCTGATCATCCTTGTGGCCCTTCTCTGGACTTGTTCCAACAGTTCCATGTCCTTTTCATGTTGAGGACACCAGAACTGCACACAATACTCCAAGTGAGGTCTCACAAGAGCAGAGTAGAGGGGCAGGATCACCTCCTTCGACCTGCTGGTCACGCTCCTTTTGATGCAGCCCAGGATACGGTTGGCTTTCTGGGCTGCAGGCACACACTGAAGCCGGCTCATGTTCATTTTCTCATCAACCAACACCCCCAAGTCCTTCTCCACAGGGCTGCTCTGAATCCCTTCTCTGCCCAACCTGTAGCTGTGCCTGGGATTGCTCCAACCCAGGTGTAGGACCTTGCACTTGGCATGGTTAAACTTCATGAGGTTGCCATCAGCCCACCTCACAAGTGTGTCAAGGTCCCTCTGGATGGCATTCCTCCCCTCCAGCGTATCAACCGAACTACACAGCTTGGTGTCATCAGCAAACTTGCTGAGGTCGCACTCAATCCCACTGTCCATGTCAGCGACAAAGATGTTGAACAAGACCGGTCCCAACACCGATCCCCGAGGGACACCACTCGTTACTGGTCTCCAGCCAGACATTGAGCCATTGACCACAACTCTTTGCATGTGGCCATCCAGCCAGTTCTATATATATTTGGGCTAAGCTGGTATTTGTCTGTAGCTACAAAAGAGGGTTCAGAGGTTTGATCCCCAGCATTAGGCTTGATTTTCAGAAGACTTGCTCTGTTCAGTTACCTGTAGGTTCTTATTCCTGTCTCATGCCACGTACATCCTCCCCCCCATCCCCGGCAATGACCTATGTTGCTGAGAAGAAAGACATAAAACTACTAATGTATTTTTTTCCCATGTGTTTTTATTGGTAGTAATATCTGTGTAATCATAACTTGAGCATGGAGTCACTAAGAATAAGAGAAATACCTATATTCTACAATGTCTCTCAAGACAGACTGATCTAATTTCCTCACATAGTTCACCTGTTTGCCTTCCTTCCTTCCTTCCTGCCCCAGCACCTTCCATAACATAATGCTCCAGAGACAAGGTGCCTGCTGAGCGCTGGCTCTCCATTGTGTGCTGGAGGCACGGTTGTACGGCATCTCTGCATTTTTCCTGTGCTGTTCATGTGTATCCATCACTATTCTGGGAGTACTTCTCCCCTTCTAGTCTGCATAGCCCTGCCTCTAACAAATATCCTTCATATGGTAGCTACCTCCAAACAACTGATGTTTCCTCTTTACCACCATATCAACAACTGCCTGCTCTGAAGCAGACTTTGTGTCAGCCATATCTTTTTCATGAGCACCCTGAAAACCAGGATTCCAACATCTTTGGTGCCCATGACAGGCAAGATGATGTGTGATCCCCACCCAATAGCCATTCCTCATAGCAGGCAAGGCAGTGGTGCTGCCATCTTTGCCACCACCGGTAGACACCAGGCTACGTTTATAGGAGTTGTGATGAAGCTTAACAGAGATATGAAGGTGTCTGTAGTATCTGTGTGGCCACTGACTCCTCTAATATCCACTGAGGCCTCTTGCAGAACACTGTTGCCTGTATTTCTAGCTATGCTGTGGTGCAGTGTGAATGGTGTACCAGTCCTACCGAAGGGTTGTTTAGGTGGCTCTGTAATCTCATAGGTGCTGTAACTGCTATAGTCAGTAAGCGTTTTTGGGAGCTTGAACTTCTTCTCAATAAGGTGAAGAGTTTGGATTCTTTTCAGTCTTTGTCCCAGTCTTGGTATTTCCAAGGAGTTGTGGTAGATGATGCTTCTGTAGGCTTTGAAGGTAATTGATGTTTGTATGAAAATCAGATACGACACTGCAGTGAAGGATTCTGCCGTGTGAAATTCTCTTTCCCCTTGACCTGAGTTCCCTGATCTAATACCATACGTTCTATACGAGGTATGTAATTGCTCTTAGCTATGTTTTTGAGTGTTGTTTGAAAACAAAGAATTTGGGTTTAGCTGTCCTTTGAGTGTCAGTTGAAGATATGTAAAAAAGGATCTTATATCCTCTGGTTTAGGTTGCTTCCCTTGGTGGGGTTTTTTCCTTTTATTATTTTAATTTAAAGTATCTGTTATCTTTTGCCCAATGCTGGAAGTGAAATAATAAATAGCTTTTGCATGGCTCATGTTCCAACACTTGTTAGCTTCTGTTTCTGACCCTCAAAGGCAGTTACATTCCTTAAAAGTTCCTTTCCTTAAAAGTTAAATTCCTTTGGTATTCGATCCATAATTCTGCTTATCTGCTGTATCTACTAGTCGCCTAATCCTTAAATCTCCACATCAGAAAAACTCCCACTGTGGTTTTATGGGAGCTTTTCTTGCATTAAGACTACTCAATTAGGCATAAAACACTCTGTAAGCAAACACATAATGCCCTTCCTCATTGTAACAAGATTCACAAAGCAAGGGTCTCACTGGGATTCTCACATCTTTCTTGACCAATTTTGAATTTATGATGGTTTAGTATCGGACTTCAGAGATGCTGATTTCTGGTCTTCAGTACAAACTTAATGACAAAACATTGTTGAGTATGAATAGGCTGCTTCACTAGAATCAGCCTGTCCAGAGAACAGCTGGCTACAGCTGCAAAAATCCAGTCCTGTGCTGAAAATAACTTGTACAGTAAGAACCCTTGCTTTATTTGCTAAAGATATGCTCAACAAAAAATTTAGCTGAAGGTTATAAAATTCAAGAACTTCACTCTGAACAATTTGAGATGTGAGTTTATGTCAGTCCAGACTTGTGATTGCCAGTGGAGTAGCACTAGCGCAAAGTTGGCCTCCAGGTTCTGGGGTTTTGAAAATAAACTGACAGAGAAACAGAATGGATTCCAACCCATCACAGTCCAGAGGGGATCAAACAATCTTTTAACAGAACATTCTCACAACCTTTGAAGACTTCACTGTGAACCCTGTACAACAGCAGGTAATTTTTTCACTACCCTTAAGCATATGGACAACATTTAGCATACAAGCAAAATGCCAAACTTTACTGTAAAATTCAGCAGCTGTTTCTCTTGCTAGAAATGTTTCCATTGGTTTTGTCAAAATCATTAAAGAAAGCAAAGTGTTCCTTTAAAAACACCTTCCCTGGTATAAATGACTGCTCTTCCAGTTTCTCCTTCCGTCTCTTGGATGTTACTATGGAGGCCTGGACCTCTCTTGTCTGAACACATGCTCCTCCTGCCAGAGTGTCTACTGTGGGCACACTCTGTCTCTCTGTATTTTAGCAACTCTTCTGAAGTTTTGAAGTGTTTCTCTTACATAGCTGAAAGTCTCCTTCTGTTTCTTGAGCTCTGTACTGGAATGCAGTGGAAGAGACCCAGGGCCTGTAGCCATCCAGATTAGAGGTTTTTGTAATAAGGTCCCTATATGGTTTTGTTAGAGACTTCAGCTCTGTCTCTGTCTGCCTCTGTTCCTTGTTTGGGAAGCTAGTGGGAGGAGAAGAGCTGAAGGGTCTATATAACCTCAGAGCTTTCAGACAGAGTGCACCATACCAGAGCAGCTATCCCCAGCCAAGCGCTGTCAGGGTAAGTGGCACAGACCCAGTAGCATGATTTACAGATTGCTGGAGGACTTCAATTAAGTAGTGTCAAATGGAAGCAATTCAGGAGGATGCACTGCTGTGCTGTAGTTTGCTTGAGCAAACTTATTAGAACTGAATTGATGATGAAAATGCTTGTAGTGTCTATACTGAGTTGTTTTTATTTTATACCATGTCTGAAAGGGAAGGATTTCTACCTGATGATTTTTCTGATTCTACCAGCACTCCAGCAACTGTGTAAAGACATAGTCTGTGTAATGCCACAGCTGGAATTACAGCTATATTCATGTTTAAATGGACCTGTGTTAGTCTGGGACAGAACAGAGTTCCTGGATGGGTATGTAGTAGTGCTTCTCAGCAGGTTTACTTCAGTGCTGTTAACTCTGTAATGTGATGTGAGTGTACTGGGGAAGGTGACTGCAACAAGAGCTGGGAAGTATGCAAATCAGCAGTATCTAATGTGGATGTGTGTGTATTTGTACTTGTCTCTGCGTATATGAAACAACTGTTCTGTAAAATGCCAAGCATTTCATTGAGGAACAGACTACACAGTATTTCTTGTGGGGCTGGAGTTCTCTTAATAGTGTTTTGTGGATATTGATGAGGTGATTGGTTATCTTTAAATGTAAAGCAGGTAGAAGAGGCTAAATACTTTATTAATTACTTGGGAGAAAAAAAATCCTTTCTGCCATAGTACTGAGTGTCATTTTCCACTGTAAGATGTTGCTACTGCTTGCCATGGCAGTCCTGAGCTGTTAACTCACTGGCTGGCACAGAGCACTATCTGAAATCATTCAGCTTTGATTTTTCAACTTTTTGTGCTTTATTACTAAATATGGTTTTCATTTAGAGTCCACTAAGCTCAGAAATGTAGCCTTTCCTGCCCCCTTCTTTCCCCTCCCCCAAGTGATTTTTGGCATTGCATTAGCTGCATTGGTTTGAGCAAAACCCCTGACCTCGAACTCTGTTCCAAAAACAGACGGTTGAGAAGCCTATTTCCTAATTAGGAAATGGTTTGTCCAAACCAGTCTGTTCATTCATGTTAGATAACAATTGTACTCCATTCAGTAAATGTTTGGATATATAAAGCTTGTTTTCCCAGGAGTTTAATAAATGCAAAAATTGCAACTTACTTTCCTTTCCCAATAATAATGATAAAATATCTGAAGTACATCAAGTTAGATTTCCCTATGCTTGTCTTCTCCTGGGAGCTATGCCCAAGCAGCCTGCAGGAGCAGGGCTGCAGCTACGTCCTGTGGCTGTCTCACTGGAGAGAGACAGAGAATCTCAAAGGAAGGTCCATGCTTGTCCCATCCATTGCAGAGGCTAAACAGGTTGTCAGCTCCCTTGCCCATCGGCCGTGGCTCTTGCTGACCCCATTCCTGCTTCACCCTGACTTTCCAGTATTCCTGCAGCAGAAGGTTTTGGAGACTGCATGCAGAGTCTGCTGGTCTGTGGATGCCAGCTGTCTCCTTTAGCTGTTAACACATTGCAATTTATTGAATTCTGCATGGAAGCCTGGGCTCAGAGCTAGCCAAGTGATTCCCTACCACACTATAAACTGTGAGCAAATAGTTCTTCTTGAGTCCTGGTATTCAGTGCTTGTTTCTGTAATTCACTTTAATACAAAGCCTTCAAAACATTTTTATTACCCATATCATCTTCCTCTTGCCAGAGGAGGAAAACAGTTTCTTTTTACTGAGACAAGGAGCCAACAGAAATTACTTTGAAACTCTACAAATGAGGCTTATTGGCTGCTTTGAAATGATGGTATAGCATATGCTATGGCTTGTTTTTAAAACATATACTGTCCCTGCCTTCACTTTAGAGGTGGGTTATCTTCGTTAAGTGACTAGTGGAGAGTTGGAAAAGGCTTTTAATTTTTTTTGTTGTTTTTAACTGGGAATATTTCTTCTTGTTTAGAAAGTTAAATGTAAACTTAATTGGCCACCTTCACCCAGTTGGTTACTGGAAAATATCCCCGGTATATGCATAATATTAAATTTGGTTAGTTTTGGGGAAGTCCAAGACTGAATGGAGAAGACTGGAGTGCTCTTACCTTTGACAGCTTTCCACATGAAAAGGGTCAGGGTGATAGAAGACCAGGGGAAGTTGTGCTGAATCTGATGCAAAGGGATCTCCTTTTTTGCAGCTGCCAGCCCAGTGTCCTCTTTTATCTCTCACCCCAGCCATGGATTTCTGTCACCAAATTTAGATAAACATTTGCTGCTCCCTGATCTGTCTGCCCATGCTGCAGGACTGGAATTCTCCTTTGGAATCTTATGGATAATCTTTAGTGCATACATCCCTCTGGCAGATATGGTCGAAACCTCTCATGGTTTCAAAAGGAAGCCCATTCCTTCATATGGTCATGCAGTGACCTGGTGGTTGCCAACTGGTACCTCTCTTTGCTGGTCCTGGTTGCTTTCAGACAGCCATCTCTGTCTTCAAGGGTGGGTCTGCTACCTGAGTATGGGGCTTTTGGGGGGCTGAGTATTTTCAATTGTTTGGGTTTTTTTTCTGGCTTTTTTTTTTTGTTGTTGTTGTTGTTGTTCCTTTTTAAAAACTTCTTTCCTGTTTTCATAGGGCTGTCTTCTGTCTGGAGGGCCTGAGGACATTGACGTAGAAGATGTGTGAGGAAGAGGACAGTACTGCCCTTGTTTGTGACAATGGGTCAGGGCTCTGTAAAGCCGGCTTCGCTGGGGATGATGCTCCAAGAGCAGTTTTCCCTTCCATTGTGGGTCGTCCCAGGCACCAGGTGATGAACTGCTTTGGTTATTCCATGTTAGGCTTGTAGAAAGTTTTGCTGCACCAACCCCAGTTCCCCACCTCAGAGGCACCTTTTCTGTGCCTGGGGCTGGCTTATCTGTGTAACAGTATTTCCAGGCAAAATGAATCCAGAGTGCACTCACCTAAGTCAAAGCAGGTCTCTTGTCTTGTGAGAGGAATCCTTCCAAAACTTTTCACTCCCTTCTATGCCCTCCTTTCCCTGGCTGTTAATTTTGTATCACTCAGAAAACTTGGTAAATAAAACTAGTTAAAAAACCAAACCAAACCAAAAAGCCCAACACAGAAATACCTGGAAATTTTGACTGCCCTAAAAGGTGATGATAGGTGATGTGTGAAAAACTAAAGGAGAAAGGAGAAGTTTTCAGTCAGCTTCCTATCAACCTTTCTGAGTTTATTCATTTAACTGTATCACAAATGAGCACCTGCCTAGGGTTGGGTTTCTTCAGCTTCAAGGTTTACATTTAAGTGTATGATGCATTCCACTCAGTTTTAATAGTTGGTAAAATGCATTTATTATCTGAGCTGTTAATAGGGAGTTTCTGAGCCAGATCATTATTAATATGAACTAGAGCAGCTTGGCTAAGCCACAATGAACTAATTCACTTAATTGCTTCTATGCCATCCAAGGCCCTGGTGAAGTGGAAAGAGGTAACTGGTCATAAAATGCAGCACTTGATATATCCAGCAAAAGCATTTTAAGTTCTTTAGGAGCTTTCAGTATAGCAGCTGGGGCTGAAGGTCTAATTGAGGCCTCTGAGTGTTACCAGAATTTAAAAACGATATTAAAGCACCAGCTTCTGAAGACAGTGTAAATGCTATTAACTGCTCAAAACCAAGCAGTACCATCACAGTGGAAACCAATGCAGGTTTTTAAAACCTTTCTTTCTTGATCATGTATCAAATATACTATTAGCCCCCTGAAGGATTTTACCATCAAAAATTGCAAATCCAAGTTGTCTTTTTTTAAGACAGTGTTAGAGATGCCAAGATTTGGAGTCTGTAATGACTTAGTTCTGACAAGAGTATTATGCACTCAAAGCATCCTACTACATACTATTTTTTCCCAGTATTTCCGACTTTAACATAAAGACTAGTGTATATCCATATTTTCTAGCTTCTGGTCCATGGACCATCTCTACAGGATCCACGAAAATACCTAAAAAGAAACCTGTAGCAGTAGACTTAAATTGTCTCTAATGACAATATTATAGTATTCAAAAATTATATTAAAAAATGTTGAAATTTAAGCTTTGGGAAATGTGAATTGTGTATTGCTCTGACTTGACCCTTAGATGGCACAACATACTTTCTGCTTTTACTCCACTTTGTTATAGTTTAGTAGACAGTTCATCCCTAAATAGTAGCAAATGTTAAACATATTTTTCCACTTTATCTTGACGCATTTAAAACTGTACTTGTTCTGTTTACTTAAACTGTAGTGGAAACATGAACTGTTTTAAGTGAACTAAACATTTAATTTAGGCAATTAAAGAACAATAAGTTACTCTCCATTCATTAGTATTTGTAAAGTATTTAGTAACTAGAATAACTGGCAACTGGATTTATTTCACAGGTAATGTTCTACCAACTTTATGACACCTCTCCCTGAGAAACTAACTCCATTTGTGTTATTTTATAGGGTGTGATGGTTGGTATGGGTCAAAAAGACAGCTACGTAGGTGATGAGGCTCAAAGCAAGAGAGGAATCCTGACCTTGAAATACCCCATAGAACACGGCATCATCACAAACTGGGATGACATGGAGAAGGTATTTCAACTTTAAAAAGCTGATGTGTGTTACTGGTAAACAGAACTTTGTGAACCAAATGTTTATAGAATACCCACTAAATTTTAGATGAAAGCATTATGTTATCAAGTATGGTTTGATGAGAAGCTTGTTAACAGCAAAGGTCAACTTGCATCTGAAGCTGAAGTATCCCTAGGAATACATCAAAAGAGTTATTTGAAGTTCTGTTGCTCAGTCTGATCTATAAATATTTCCTAATTACTGGAAAAGAAAAAAAAAGAAAAAAAGTAAAAGTAAAGAACATGAATGTAAGAATATCTTCAATTTACCAGTAAGGAAATACAATTTAGGAAGTTACCTGTTTCTGCAAAAATACGAAGTATGTGTGTAATTCTGATGTGAAGGGCACTGTTTACACATGTACTTTTTAACACTGGAAAGATTAGCAATGTTGCAGTGCAATACATCCCTTTCAGAGGCAGAGTTTGGATGAAAGGCTTCCAGAGCCGTGTTTATAGTCACAGTCTATATAATTTCTAAGATGGAATCTCTGTTCGATTATGCTGTGGAAATAAGGATATCTGAAACAGTTGGGATATCAAATCATACTGCAGGTGTGTGGAGTAACACAGAACTCACTGACTCTTTTACTTGGGAGCAAAACCTTTCAGATGCCTAACATATCAACCAATCCCTCATCACCACCAGCTTGAAAATAAGCTTAGAACAACTTTCTTGGTCTTTAGAAAGTCTGATGGTTTTACTTCTTGCTGGTTTATTAACCTCCTCAGTGAACTTCACTTGGCCTCAGATTTTTATAGCTGGTAGGAATAATTTGTGCAGAAGCGATAAACACAAGCTGACTTTCATCCTCACAAACCACTTGACTCCATTTCTTTTTATGAATTCCTGGGCTGGCCTCTACAAACCAAAAGGTGAAACTGTCTTCAAGAGACACGTTATCTATTGAATTAAACTACATAGGTCTGCACATGTTCTAGAGCTGTTCTGGAACTTTCATTCATTATTGAAACAGTGTTGCTGCAATCAATGCTGTCTTGCTCTGTCTCTTCTACTGTTAGAGTAACAGTAAGTTATTTTCATTAACTTAAGTGACCTTAAAATAAGTCATGTATTACTAGCAGTAAAACCCGAGGTTAGTGCTTTTCTTTCTGCAGTTACTTTGGTAATCTCTGTGGAGGCTATAAGAACAACTGCATGAGAAACGCTACTAGCCTATATCTAGGGCTTTAAGCAGAGAGCTGGAGCACAATACCTGTCTGAAAGTGATTCTGAGCTGCTGGCTGATGGTGTTTCTTTCCTTTGGCTTCTCCCATTGCTCTCAGATCTGGCATCACTCTTTCTATAATGAGCTCCGTGTTGCACCTGAAGAGCACCCGACTCTGCTGACTGAAGCACCACTGAATCCCAAAGCTAACCGAGAGAAAATGACCCAGGTAAACTTACACTAAAGATGTGGAGTAATTCCAACTTTGTGAATCCAACAGGATGTGAACTTCATTGTTTCAGTTAGTCATGCTCTCCAGTAGTCAGTCTTTCTTGGTTATGGAAGATGCAAAATGAATAGTGATCACCTTTCATATCTGAATAATTGTATTTACTTTAGAAAAACAGTGTATCTGCTTTGAATGTACTTCAGCCTGTCCAAGTTTCATGTCATCTTAATCTGTTTTTATGGCCAGGCTTATTACTGTATGTCCGTAAGTTGTGGTTTAAGCCGACAGAGCCTGGCTAGCTCAGTCGGTAAAGCACGCGACTGTTAACCCCAGGGTCGAGGATTCGAGCCCCATGTTGGGCGCCAAAAAGAACTGTCATGGTTTAAACACAGCCAGCAACACAGAACCACTCAGCCACTCGCTCACTCCCCCCTCTTCCTGCCCCCTGCTCCTGGAGGGATGGGGAGGAGAATCAAAAGAATGCAACTCCCACAGGTTGAGATAAGAACAGTTTAGTAACTAAGGTATAACACAAATCACTACTGCTACCACCAATGATAATAATGATAAAGGAAATAACAAGGGAAGAGAACACAACACCTCACCACCAACAACCAATACCCAGCCTGACCTGAGCAGTGATCTAGCCCTTCCATGTAACTGTCCGTCCCCAGTTTATATACTGGGCATGACGAGCTGTGGTATGGAATACCTCTTTGTCTTGTTTGGGTCAGGTGTCCTCTCTCTGCTTCCTCCCAATTTCCCCTCCTCCCTGGCAGAGCATGAGACACAGAAAGTCCTTGGTCAGAGTAAACAGTACTGAGCAGTAACTAAAACATTGGTGTTATCAGCATTGTTCCCAGGCTGAGAGTCAAAAACACAGCACTGTACCAGCTACTAAGAAGGAGAAAACTGACTGCTACTGCTGAACCCAGAACACTGTAATATGTGCATATGTTAAAGATATAGGTGTAGGAAGATATCTTGTAGGACAAATATTTTTTGAGTTAGAGTTTGTACTTTCTTTCTTTGCTGTTAGCAACCATCAAGAAATACAGATAACCTTGTCTTCACTCTCTCAGTAAATTGCTTCAAATAAGCAAAACCCTGTCGTGTTAAGACAATTATTTTAACTGCATTTCAGATTATGTTTGAGACTTTCAATGTTCCAGCCATGTACGTAGCTATTCAAGCCGTACTGTCCCTCTACGCTTCTGGACGTACCACAGGTAGGCCTCTTGAGGAACATGACATGGATGTTTGAAATGATTAAGCGCATTGATGTCCACCTGGGAATGAAATGTGTTATTTTGTCACAGGGATTGTGCTTGACTCTGGGGATGGTGTCACCCACAACGTGCCAATTTATGAGGGCTATGCCTTGCCGCATGCCATCATGCGCCTGGACCTGGCTGGCCGTGACCTGACAGACTACCTCATGAAAATCCTGACGGAACGTGGCTACTCCTTTGTGACCACTGGTAAGGACATGCTGCTGTCTATGGAGGGGAGTTGTTTAATGTTCAATGTTTCTAGTGGCCTTAGAAGTTCTAACAGTAGTTCTGCAGTTGAATAGACACAAGAAGGAATCCAACAGGAAAGTCCTCTGTAAGACTAGCAGAGGATATGTTTAAAAAACAGGTAGGGTGCTGGAGGATGAAAGGGAACAACTTGTCAATATGTCTGTGTGCTTCCTGAGTGCCATTCTAAACACTGAATCCTCTTGACAGCGGAGCGTGAAATTGTCCGTGACATCAAGGAGAAACTGTGTTATGTGGCCCTGGACTTTGAAAATGAGATGGCCACTGCTGCCTCTTCTTCCTCTCTGGAAAAAAGCTATGAACTTCCTGATGGCCAGGTGATCACCATTGGAAACGAACGCTTCCGCTGCCCAGAGACCCTCTTCCAGCCTTCCTTCATTGGTAGGTTGAATGATTGTTCTGCCTTCATAAACTGCACATAAGGTTTCTATTTTCTTTTGATTGTATCCCATTGCTAACTCAGTCAGACCTACAGACAAGTATGTCCTAGCACCCATTATAAAATAATTTTTTAGAACAGCGCTATTAATATGGTAGGAGGAACTTTGGGTCAAACAATAAGGCAAAATGCTTTCTCAGAATAAACCCTGAATATTTACTCTTGGCTTCTGCCACTGGGTTTGTGCCATTTGCAGCTGGCTACTACAAGAAGTGTGGCCACAAAGTCACTTTTCTAAGTAGTGTGAGGATTGTGGGGGGCAGGCAACACTAGTTCTATTTTTCCAAAACACTGCTCCAGCCATGGAGGTGAATTTACAACGAGGTCACACAGAAACCCAGCGTCAGTTCTGCCAGTCGGCAGAATTTCAGCTCAGAAATAGATGAAGTAGTTGCATAGTTAGAGGTATTAGGACATATTGTGACTGTTCTGTTTCTGGGTTGGCTCATTACATTAACAAGAAAAAAATAAGGAAAAGAAAAAGAGAAGTTAAAAAAAAAAAGAACAGAAATGATTCCAAGACCATATAAGGATTTCTTAGGACGTTTGAGATTGCCTGCAAAAGTCTAGTGGAAACTTTACTATTCCACACCCCCAGCTTTCTTTTGAAGGAGGAGTTGTGTGTGGAAAGGGGAGAGGAGCGATGCACAAGGAACTACTAAGCAAATAATTTGGGCATCTGCAGAATGACTTTCCGGGTTTCCACAGCTCTGAAGATTGATGTCTTTTTAAAGAGACACTGAAGTTCATGTTGTCAGTTCTCTATTAGCAATTTGAAGTCTCTGTATGGAGCTGCTTTCTCAGAGTTCTTCTGTGCCTTACCCAGGCATGGAGTCTGCTGGCATTCATGAAACCACTTACAACAGCATCATGAAGTGTGACATAGACATCAGAAAGGATCTTTATGCCAACAACGTACTGTCTGGAGGCACTACAATGTACCCGGGTATTGCAGACAGGATGCAGAAGGAAATAACTGCTCTGGCTCCTAGCACTATGAAGATCAAGGTATGGTGCAATCATTTGTAGACTATTTGAGTTGGCACGTACAAAGTCATCAAAAATCTTGTGAAACATAGCAACACTTTACAAAGTAAGTGCTTTGTACATATTTTGAGTCATGTTTGTACCTTCTACCAAATAATCACCACCTGGTGACTTTGTTGTTGAAAGGAAGAGAGCCTTCCCTCCTCTCATTTCCTTGTTCACAGTGAATTCTGCAAAGTGCACTAGCATGGTCAAAGAATAGTATGGATCCAGCAGGCTAAATTTTCCACTGCGGCTATATGTGAGCTTCTTCAGCCCTTCTTGGCTGATGGAGATGAGATAGGGGAAATACTGGTTTTATCCCTGGCCTGTAAGCTCAGAAAAGGAAGAGCCTCTGGCAAGCCAATATCCCTTCTGTGCTTCAGATCTTCCTTCATCGCTTTACAAACATTTTATCAGCTGTACCAATAAGGTCACTCCATAGGTCACTCATTTTTCCAAGCCATCCTGGGCTACCATTATGTTTCCAGAGCAAGTATCATCTCTTCTTCTCCCATATGCAACCACGAAAACATGAATGCACTACTCCTACTCAGCAGACTGACTCAGGCAGAGGAATTGAGAATTTAGACTCAGACTTAAATATCAACTTTTTAACTTTACTGCTTGTAGCAATGGCTAATTGTAATGCCAGGGATGACACTAGCACAGAGATACAATGTTTTTGTTCATATCAAATATCACTGCTTTAACAATTTTTTGTAACAAATGTATTTTATTCACTGGAGACAGTTGTACTTAATGCTTTTTTTTCTTAAACAGATCATTGCTCCTCCTGAACGTAAGTACTCCGTCTGGATTGGAGGCTCTATTCTTGCCTCCTTGTCTACTTTCCAGCAGATGTGGATCAGCAAACAGGAATATGATGAAGCTGGGCCATCCATTGTTCACCGCAAATGCTTTTAAATTGCTTTATCTTTATATGCCTCCCCAGTGTATAACTGTGAATGTATTCAGGAAAATACATTCTTATAATTTCATTCCATAAATCCTTCATCGTAATTACTTTAATTAATTGGGTACTGTATTTTTTTTTAATAAATTTTAAATATACTATGAAATTGCTGCTCCTATTTAAAATAAAATAAAATAAAATAAAATGCATGTGTGGAGGTACCATTACAGCTGGGTTGAAGCTCCATCTTGTGACGCCAATTTGCTACTACACTATATTGGGCTTAGAGGTACCTTTCAGTCGATATCAATGCTAGAAAATGCTCAGCTATCAGGCTGCACATTGTCAAAGTTTAGCCTCTGAAAGCATTTTATTCTTCAAACAGAACCAGTTTCAATTTTTCCAAAGTTCTGGGCAGTACCAAAGGAGCATAGCATGTGTTCAATATCAGGATGAGCATCTGCATTCTGCCTTGCATCTGCTCTATCCACAAATATTATCTATACACACCACTTCTTAACTCACAGCTGTCACGCTGGAAACGCTAATTTCTCACAGTTTGTGCCCCAGAGGTGTACGATGTGTACTACAACAATTCTGTGTGTTTTCTTTAAAGAATCTGTTCATTTGGGAGGACATCTAAACACTAATATTAGATTGAACATGTGACTTCCCTATCACATGCCCTCAGGATGGGGGCAGCCTGTTATTTTTATGTTGTGATTTCTGGCAAGTTCTAAAGGGTAATTAAGCTGGCTTAATACACTTTCTCTTCAAAACTGGGTTGTTTTTATGGGGGCGGGGGGTGTAATGTAAGTAGATAATTTAGACAGTTTTCTCTTTCTGTGATTTTTTTTCTGATTCCATTTGTAGTCTTAAATACATAAAAACTGATATTCAACTAGAAGTATACGCATAGCAGCTGATGCTAGTGATACTGTCTTAAAAGTATATACATGAAAAAAAGAATTCACTGAGACATCTGGAAAAGGTCAGTTCTAAGGAACTTGCTGCAATCTGTATGCATTAGAGTTCAGGATAAAGGATGCTATTTATTTTTGTTACCTATTTTCCTGTCTAAACTCAATAGTTTACCTCACTCCTCTGTTATGTGTTATCTTTCAAACTGTAAGCTTTTTGCAAGAGCACCTTTTATTTACCATGTCTGCATAACCCCTGGGTTCCAGATCTTGTCCAGCTTCTGACTGTTAGCACATGTTCTGAACTTTTTTATACTAACCTTGCTATTCAAAGTACAGCCCATCTAGGTTCTTGGAACAGACACTAAATAAACTCTTGTAAGAGCAAATAACTTTGTATGGTTCTTCCTTCTAATTCTATCTACATCTTTTTATCTAACACTAGATAGATCCAAGGAATCCCTTTTGGGATAAGAACTTTATTTCAAATAAAGGTTACTACTGCAGGGTCACTGGAGAAGACACATTTCTCCAGGGGACTCTGATGTATCTCTCATGTTTCAAGATGTGATGATGCCCAGCTGTCAGGTAAAGGACTTGTGTTTTCCTAAGTATTTTCTGTTAATAACTTAGCCAAGAGTTGAGCTATACAAGGATGTGACAGAGAAAAGGATGAAAAAAGAAACCAACCCAAAAATCACCCAAAATATTATATTTGTCTCTACTACATACAATGCAAAGACTCTGAAGCAGTGAAGAGATACAAGTAGCTAGAGGTCACAAAAAGCCAACCACTGTTAAAAATCTCTAGTTCTCAGAAAGCAATTAATGCCAACATGTGACAGAAGAAACATTATTTATTTCAACACAGTTACTGTTGTTTGAAGTTATTTTTATTGTGGTTTATAGGTGAGATGTTTCCAGATTCAGAGGTAATGCCGCTGAAATCCATCTTGAAGGAGCAACAAAATAACTCTGAAACAGGCTAGAGCAATAAATATCAAACCATTCAATCTAAAATGTATAAATATAAAATTCATTTCTGAAAATGTAGGAAAAACAGGGATCCATTTTTCTGTTTTGGCCATTTGTACAGTAACATAGTGATTGTCCATCTGTATCACCTCAGATCCAGCACAATGATCTTTATGTCTTTCCCAACCACATGGGAACATGGCTGCAGAAGAAGTCAAACCATTAGTCACAAAAATAATTTTCAGTAAAGCAGCATAAGAGGGCTATGGTTTCTTTTTCATTTTCTGAGCCTGCTTAATACTATGCCTATCTATCCAGCCTTGACTCTACCTGTCACTGTGCCTGTTGACAGGCAAACCCGACCATCACAGGTATAGAATGCTCAATAAAGCAAGGACTACAACATCCAATCAGAAATAAATTTCTAAAGATAATATTGTTCAGGGTTTAGCCTGTGAAACAGATTATAGTTCTGTGCGATCGTTTAGGTATCACAGCGTGGGATACCTCAAATGGAGAAGGAAGGTGGTGTGTGCTGCATTAGAAAAGGTGATGGGGGACAGCAGCAAGGAATATGTGAGCACTGTTGTTCTCCTGCAGTGTTTTCAGATGTGTCTGCCCATGTAGTGGATTTTTTTTTAAGCATTTAGGACTAGATTGTGTCTTTAGAGGCTGTGATCTCACTGGTTTTGTTGGAATATCCATGTGTTTTAGGGGTTGTACTTGAAAAGATATTTGTGTTCAATATACAATACCAGCAGTGGGTCTCATGTTTATAAATCAGCTCAAATGGGCAGTAATTTCATTAATGAACTAAGTCTGTAAAGGGTCACTGAAAAGAGCCCATTTGGAAAAAGAAGTTGTATATTTTTTCAGAGTTGGATGACCTTCTCGTTATCCCTACAGTCAATGATAAAATAAGAGAACAACCCCAATTTCTCCTCCTTTTGAGGAGTAATATTGATATTCTGAGAGTCCTTCAACAAAGAAATAATTTCCAATGTTTTTCAGCATTACTTCTCTGTATCTGATCATTTTTATTTGAGCTATATGAGATGTTTTGCATATGAAGTGGGAGAATGAGTTTTCTTAAGAAAGAAAGTCTTCATTATTCAACAGTGAAAATTGTTTTCTTCTGGATGACAGTGCCATTTCTGATCATTCTAACCATACTATAGATATAGCATACTATGCTAATTAAAACATTAAAAGATATGGTAGTTACTGACAAGCCAGTGGAAAATTATGGGCAATGAAGGAATTATGGGTAACAAATTATTAACATGGAGGAAAAACTATAAAGAAATCTAACCTGAAACACATACGGTTTCTGCTTGCAGCAGAACGATGGGCAAGAATTTGAATAGTCAAAACCATGCTGGATTATATACTTACATTAAATAACCTAAGGTCCTTTGTATGTGGATGGAAACCTTTCTTTTTACAAGCAGAAACTTCTAGCATGCCAGCATTAGTGAGTCTGAAGATGCCGGTGCTGGAAAGCAAAAGATGAAATTCCTGTTACATACTGCTCCCATAATACACGTTCAAGGTTTCACATGCAAATTGCTTAGCTTAACAGAAGGACAACAGAGGGGTACTCAATGACCTTTGGTACACAGGAGCCAAGGCTGAGTTGGATACATAAAAGTATTTGAAATCAGGAGGAGTTGTATTCATGACATGATAAGGGGAAGGGAAGACTGAAAAAAAGAAATTACAGTACTGGAGCTATTCCCATTAGGCATGTTAGGCTGCTAAGGGCTGAGGCTAGTTCACGCAGAAAGATAGAAACCAGAAACTTAGGTGCTCTGGATTGCATTTCACTCACTGAACTGTAGAGGGACAACTTTAAAATAGAGCAGCATTTCAGCTAGCTGTGTAAATGACTGGTGAGAGTACATGTCCTCACCACTCTCGGGTAATTAAGCAACACACAGTACTACAAAATGCACTGCTGCATACGTATGACCTAAAACTGAGTGTTGACTAAAATGTCAGAAACCACATCCTTCTGAAAAGAGCTGCTAGCTTCAGGACAGAACCTGACTGACAAATCTTACAGATACTAGTAACAGGTTCCATTTGGTTAGAGAGTATCAGCATAAACTTGGAAAGAAGTTTGGAAGGCCAGAGTTTTGAAAAGGTATGCAGGTGTACTCTAGGTTACAAGGCCTAGTGCATTTGTCACTCAACCTGTATTTAGAGCTGTGCTACCTGAATGGCTCATATAGGAAACTAGGCAAGCAGAATGGGATTCACAGAAGTCATCTACAAAAGTGGAAGGCCAGAAAGGAAGGCTGAAGCAACACACCATCTAAAAAATTGAGTTAGCCCTGGGGTCTTGAAGTGCCAAGCACTCCAAAAGAGAATCATGGAATTGTTGAGGATGGAAGGAACCTCTACAGAACCTCAACACCCGGCTTCAGCAGAATCACCTTGAACAGGTTACCCAGGACCATGTCCTGGTTTTGAGTATCTACAGGGATGTAGACTTCACACCCTCTCTGGGCAAGCTGTTCCATTATAAACCTTCATATTAATACTTACATATTTTCATTTATTTTCCAGAAACTTATTGTTTGTATTTTATGAAGTACAAAAATAGGACTTTATAAAAAATGTGATCTTTACTCTTCTACTCCCCAAACTGCATTTTCCAGCTCATCCTAGAGAAATATGTCTAACCCCTCTACTTCCTTCATCAGACAGAATGAAGCTAGGTCTGTGGTAGGGCACTGACACTGAGGTCTCCAGAAGAACAGCTCCTCTCACTACCACTTGACTGAGCAGGGTATGAAAACAAATAAAATTTAAAACCTTGGGCTGGGAAAGGAGGAGGAGGAGAGAGAAGCCATAAACAATACCGTGCATAGAGACTAATTGGAATGCAAGTCTAAGCAATCTAAAGAAAGCAAACTCACAATACAGTATTCCTGCCCTTCATCCCAGATGACATGTGCTGTTTGCACTTGATCAGATTTTGCAATAAAGAGCAGGGGAAAATATCTAAATATTACTTAGAAAAATTGGAACTCACTCATTATGCTTTGGAGAACAAACAATTGCAATGGCCTCTGGCAACATTAGCTGATAAGAACAATGAGTATGAAGATCAACACTGGATAAGAATGCTGTTTGTGTTGGATGTGTCTACAAAAAAAAAAGGAAAACTCAACATCATGAAATACTTCTTACCAATCAAGGTTGATATACATTCAAGAAGGAACAATAATTTGTAAGAAGTGAAAGCATCCGTACTTCCCCACATTGGTTTCTTAAGTTTCTGTAAACCAGATTCTACATTGTTAGAGTGGCTTTTCAGTACGAGATTTATGGTGGCATATTCACAACCGGATGCACAAGCAATTTTCTGATCATGGAGAAAAGAGGTGGAATGAAGAAGCACAAGACAAAGGCAAATAACTCGACTATCCAAAATCCCCAAGAGTGAAATTAATATAAAATTTAAACAACACGATACTTCCCTCCCCTCCCCTTTTGAATACAGTAGAAAATAAATGGCATTAGAAAGTAATAAAATACCCCTAGGTCAACATAAACAGAAGTTGTACTGGCAAATGCAGGCCCATTGTGTTATCAGGATAACTCAACTGCATTAAGAAACACTTATCTGTGGAGAATATTACTGCTCATTTACATGCCAACAATGAGAATTAAGTAAGCAAATTAATCTGGATTATTCCAGTTCTTCAGTTTATTGTTTCCAAGGTTTTTTTCCACATAGTATGCAGAGCCGATATAGAAAAGCTGGAATCTATGAGTCATACGTACATGGATCCAACCCAAAGTGAGGAGATCATACTGATCCTGAATACCAAATAACTCTTCCACATTCTCCATGTCACAGTAGTCTGGTCCTGCAGATTGCTTTGGCACTATTACATGGGTGATAGTAAATTCATTATGTGTCTGTAAAACAAACATTGACTGTTTGAAAAAATGAACTAATAAATAAATGCTAAATCAGGATCTGAAAGATGTCAGCCTATCAGCTAAACCAAAGCAGTATAGCTCTGCTGATTCCAGTGCAGCTATACTGACTTACTGCACCTGAAAACATGCTTTAACATTTTATCATGAAAACATACAGAGTAGTAGTAGTAACAACACGAGATTGTTGTATTGCAGGGTTCTCAGAGATGACTGTGAAAAGGTTGTCCTTTAAAATAACATGAAAAAAGAAGTTTGAGAATACTATTATTATTTTCTGTGACACTTATCACTACTCTTGCTATTCTTTCTCTTTACACGATTCAAATACACCTGCACATCATCTTTAATATTCTATATATGCCAGCATCATCCATGGCATGCTTCCTTGATCTAAAAGGACATTAATTGTTATCTAGGTCAAAGGAAAATCAAAACAAAATAAAACAAACAAACCCAGCTT